CCTATAGGGTCTCTATGAGTCGGAATTGACTCGACGGCAATGAGTTTGGTTTGTTTTTTTTTTTTAAAGTAGGGTAAGGAGCCCTGGTGGCGTAGTGGTTAAGCGCTCGGCTGCTAACCAAAAGGTTGGCAGTTCGAATCCACCAACTGCTCCTTGGAAGCCCTATGGGGCAGTTCTCCTCTGTCCTATAGGGTGTCTTTGAGTTGGAATCGACTCAACGGCAACAGGTAACTGGGGTAAAATCAAATGCAAGACCTGACAAAACTCAAGTAGTGTAAGTCCTCCGTATTCTTTTATAAGTTCTTTTAGCTATTCTGGTTCCTTCATGTTTCCGTATGAATTTTAGGGTGACCTCTTCAATTTCAACAAAAAAGCCTAGTGGGATTTAAGTGGGATTGTGTTGACTCTATAGGTCAATTTGAAGAGAAGTTACATCTTTCCAATTCTGAGTTTGTCAGTCTGTAGTCATAGTATATCTCTCCATTTGTTTAGGTCGTCTTTAAATTTTTATCAGCAATGTTTTGTAGTTTTCAGTGAATAACAATACTTTTTGTCAGATTTATTAATATTTCACTTTTTTGATAATACTGTAAATGGTATTTTTTTCTAATTTCAATTTCTGATTGCTCATTGCTAGTGTATAGAAATATACTAATTTTTGTATATTGATGTTGTATCTTTCAACCTTGATAAGCTCATATATATGTTCTAGTTAATTTTTTATAAATTCCATTGGATTTTCTACATAGACCAGGGTTTCTCAGCCTTGGCACTATTGACATTTTGGGCTGGATAATCTTTTGCTTTAGGGCCTGTTGTGTACATTGTAAAATGTTTAGATGCATCTCTGGCCTCTACCCAGAAGAAGCCAGTAGCACCCCCAGTTATATCTCCAAACAATGCTGCATGTCTCCCTGGGGGCAGAATTGTCCACAGTTGAAAGCAACTGACATAGACAATTATGTCATCTGTAAATAAACACAGTTTTACTTTTTCCTTTCTAATTTGTATGCCCTTTTATTTCATTTTCTTACCTAATTGTTTGGCTAGGACCTGCATCTTTGTTTCTGATCTTAGGAGCGAAGTGTCTAGTCTTTCACCATTAAGTATGATGTTGTATATTTTTCGTAGATGTTCTTTATTCTGTTGAGGAACTTCCTTTCTATTCCTAATGTGCTCATAGTTTTTATCTGGAAAGGATGTTGGACTTCATCAAATGTTTTCATCTGTTGAAATGATTGGAGTTTCTGGGTGGTGCAAAAGGTTAATGCGCTTGGCTGCTAACCAAAAGGTTGGAGGTTTGAGTCTACCAAGGGGCACCTCAGAAGAAAGGCCTGGCAGTCTACTTCCCCAAAATCAGCCATTGAAACTCATATGGAGCATAATTCTACTCTGACACACATGGGGCAACTGTTTTTATTAAAATAACTATATGTTTATTTCTGTTTTAGTTGTTACTATGGTAAATTTCATTGATTTTCAAATATTAAATAAACCTTGCATTTATTGACTAAACCACACTTAGTCATGATGTATTATCCTTTTTATATATTATTAGATTAGATTTAAAAGTTTTAAGTTTTTTTGCATCTGTGTTCATATAGTCTATAGTTTTCTTCTTTGTCTGATTTTGCTATCAAAGTAATGCTATCCTCAAAAAATGAGTTGGGAAGTAATTCTTTTCAATTTCATATGAAAGAGCTGTGAAGAATTGTGTTATTTCTTTTTTTTTTTTTTGTATTTAATCCCTTGAACTTAAAAAAGATACTGTAGACTTTATAAACAAAGTATGGACACCATTTCATCATGGGAGTGTGGTTTCTTTTTTAAATGTTTGGTAGAATTCTCCAGTGATACCTTCTGGGCCTGGAGTTTTATTTATGGGAAGATTTTTGTTGTCGTAAAAATACATATAACTCAACATTTGCCAATTCAGTATTTTTCATGTGTACAATTTAGTGACATCAGTTACATTAATTATGTTGTGTAACCATCACCAATATCCATTGCCAACTTCTCCATCACTATAAACTCAATGCTTTCTAAACAATGACTTCCTATGGAAGATTTTTAACTACAAATTTAAT